AAAAAAAAAAATTACGACAACAAACTTTACGTACATCCAAGAGTAACTCGTGGATCGGTTAAGGCATTGGGTTCTGTCGGAAGAGGAGGAGGTGCGTCGGTTGCATATTGTGTAACGTAATAGTTCAATCCTAGAAAATCAAGTGATCCTTTAACCAAAATTGATTCTTGAGGTGTGAATTTTGGCAATCTTTCTCCAACGAGCTCTTTCATTATCTTTGGATAATCTCCGTATACCAACGGATCCAAAAACCTTCATATATGTAGAAAGATGTGCATGAATTAAGATGAAAATTTTGATTTAATATCAAAACACTTTAGACGTATTTAATGATTTGAGAGCCAATTAGTTGAACAGATATACCATCCGACGATGAAATCGAATGCTCGTTTTGCAGCCGCATTGTCAGGAGTGCTAGTTATTTCTAGTGGTTCGAACCATCTACCAATTAAGGTTGTTCCAATCTTACCACCTTGAAATTTCTGCATTATAGTTTTTGTAGATTAATTGGAGGATTTGATTAAAGACAATTAATATATCGTTAATCTCAAATGGAATGTCGATATAAACCTGGTATCTCTTTCGGTATAGTGCCGCGGTTTCTGCATGAGCAAGGAGTTGGTGATGCGCGGCTATATAAGGTTCGGTTCCAGAATCTCCTCCAAATTCACAATCAGTGCACCGACCTGGTGGATATGATCCATCTCCATAACCTTTGGTTGCGAGGGAGTAAGGTTGATTCAACGTGATCCAAAACTTCACTCTATCACCAAATCTTTGAAATAGAAGCTCCGCGTAGTTCTTGAAATCCTCCCTATAAATATAGCAAACATACATCTATACCTTGGAGTCTAGACCAAAGAAAACAAAACTAGTAAAAACAAAAGTGTAGATTAATGCACTTACACTATTCTTGGACTTAAGAATCCTCCATACTCGTCTTCTAGAGTTTGCGGAACATCCCAATGGAATATTGTCACGTACGGTTCTATGCCTATATTCACGTAAAATCAAATTG